ATAAATCAATGATATTTGCTTTAAAATATTTAAAACCGTGGAGAAATCTTGAAATCGATGAATTATCGTCATATTTGAATGAGACTATTCATTCAAATATTTCAATTACAGAATTAGGAGATAAATTATTAATTAAAATTTTACTAAATATTACAAAAAAATTAAATGACTTTTCTATAAAAAAAAATAGCAAAAAATTTTCTAATATTTTAGAACTAATTTAAGATTTATGACAAAAATCGTTTATTGACTGATATTCATTTAAATTATCAAAGTAAAATAAAAGAAATAATACGTATAAGTAATTATCTATTACAAATATCCGAAAGACAAACATTTTCTATTATAGAAATAATAGATTTACAATTACAATCGATAAAAATATGTATTGAAAAAAAAGATAATGTTATAGATAGTAAATTTAATGAAATTACTTGTCATATTATATCATTAATAAAAGATATTTTTAAAACGATTCTTGAAAACAAGAATATCAAACCCATGAAATCTGAAATACTGAAGAAATATGAAACATTCGATTTGGAAGTTGCTTTACGCGGAGCAGTTTATAAACGAAACATATAAGAAGCAGAAGTTCTGTTAGAATCAGGTGCAAATATTAATGCACAAGACCCTAAATCTTGAAAAACTGCTTTGCATTGGGCAGTTGTGGAAAACGATAAAGAAATGATTTTGCATCTTTTAGAAAAAGGTGCTGATATGGACATAAAAGATTTTGAACGTTTGAGTCTATTTGATCATGCGAAAAATAATCAAATCGATTTGGATACAATAAAAAGTGACAAAATAGAAAATTCAAAAGAATTTGAAAATCGATTATATGCTTTACAAAAATTTGATAATTTTCTTAGGAAGTTACAATCTGTAGATTTTATTGGGTATGTAGAAAGTAAAAATATTAGTAAGTTAGATAATAGATTATTTTATAAAGTTCGAAAAAAAGATCTTTATAAAGTAGCAAACATTGAAGAAGCAAAAATAAAAGTAAAAAAAGATTTCTGTTCACATTATGCATTAGAGATTATATAAGAACTATTAAAATACATTAAAAATCTCAAAATATTTAATCGATCAACTCCAATAGAAATGAATAAAATAAAAACCGAATTAATAATGGCAATAGGAAAAGCATTTAAATATTTAAATGATCAATTAAGATACAGCAGTTCAGAAAAATTTAAAAATGATTGTATTATTCCATTTAAAGATGTTATAGTTGCAAGTGAATCTTACAAAGAATTTTCTAATAAATTAGAAAAAATTGATTTGTATGTCTTATATGATAGAAAATTAAAAGAAATAACGATTGTTCATGCATTAGATTTATTTCAAAAGAGAAATGAAAATTTCTCTAAATGGAACATCATAAAGAAAGCCTTTTTGAAATATGAAGAATCTGTTAAACAATATTTTCGTATTATTATAGATAAAAAGAATACAATTGAATATATTGATCAAAGAAACAAAAAGTTTGAATAAAGAATTAAATTTGAAAAAAACAGCT